TTGGATGGCCATGTTGTAGTCTTGGAGTGCTTTTTCATTTTCTCCTTTGTCATCAAATAGAACTCCTAATTATATGACTAGATGATTTACCTCTGCTCATATACGCAGTAGCATGATTTGGATTTAATTGGATGGCCATGTTGTAGTCTTGGAGTGCTTTTTCATTTTCTCCTGTTTTATCAAATAGAACTCCTAATTATATGACTAGATGATTTACCTCTGTTGTAATACGCATTAGCATAATTTGGATTTAGTTGGATGGCCATGTTGTAGTCTTGGAGTGCTTTTTCATTTTCTCCTTTGTCATCAAATAGAACTCCTAATTATATGACTAGATGATTTACCTCTGTTCATATACGCAGTAGCATGATTTGGATTTAATTGGATGGCCATGTTGTAGTCTTGGAGTGCTTTTTCATTTTCTCCTTTTTGACGAAATAGAACTCCTAATTATATGACTAGATGATTTACCTCTGTTCATATACGCATCAGCATGATTTGGATTTAATTGGATGGCCATGTTGTAGTCTTGGAGTGCTTTTTCATTTTCTCCTTTGTTATAAAATAGAACTCCTAATTATATGACTAGATGATTTACCTCTGTTCATATACGCATTAGCATAATTTGGATTTAGTTGGATGGCCATGTTGTAGTCTTGGAGTGCTTTTTCATTTTCTCCTTTGTCATCAAATAGAACTCCTAATTATATGACTAGATGATTTACCTCTGTTCATATACGCATCATCATAAAATGGATTTAATTGGATGGCCATGTTGTAGTCTTGGAGTGCTTTTTCATTTTCTCCTTTTTGACTAAATAGAACTCCTAATTATATGACTAGATGATTTACCTCTGTTAAGAAACACAGTAGCATCAGATGCAGACATAAATAATTAATGCATTTTCTATTACTTTTTTTGATTATATTATGAAAAAATTCACCCCCTTAATTAATAATATTTTTTATTTTTATCTAAAAAATTAATTCATATACGAATTAAAATGGTGATTATAATTATTAACAAACCAATATGATCAAACTCTAATTTTAAGTTATGCAGATTTATTTTATTCATTAAACTCTAATTCTAAAATTACCATTTTTTAATCGATTTACTTTTAATTATCATATATCTTAAATATCTATTTATATATTTTTCTTAATTGAAATACATTAACATTAAATATATTTATACATTCTAGATTTTTTAGTTTATTTGAGAAACAATGATAAATCATAATTTTTTGCTTTTATTAATTATAAATATCTATTTGAGATGTTTGCTTTGTAAATTTTACTTTTTATTAGAAAGTTACTTATAGAAATAATCAACTAATACAACGTCTATTCTTAAAAGGTATAAAATATACCATTTTACACAATTACTTAAAAAAATATATGGGTAAAAAAGTATTTTTTAAGTTTTTCTAGTTATCACAAACAAAGTACAAAAAGTATTATTACTAATTAATTCAGAATAAATTAATATAATAAGAAATAGGGGTATTTAAAAGATAAATACAGTGATAATTAAACAAACTTATTCTCAAATAAAAATAAAATAATTTAATTAGTTATTAACAATTAGAAATAATACTTAAATTAAATTCAAA